CAAAAAGAGGTTATCAGACTGAACCGAAAACAAGAAAAGGTTTGTAATAGCAAATATTTAAAGCCTAAAGATACAATCATCTATATAAACCAGAGGCCTTCCTACATTTGCATACAAATTATGAAAAACTGTAATTTTACATTTAAAGCAAAAATTTTAAATCGAATTGAGCAGTGTTGGTATTAATAGGGGAAATGGAGAAGAACTGAAAAATACCCAAGACAGCATGCTTGTTTCCCAGTTAGCAAAATACCTAGGCCTGGGGAAAAGCCCAGTGTAAAGGACAATTATATTAACACACATCACAACAGATAAGTTATCCCCTGTGGTAACAGAGGGCAATGAAAAGGCAATTTTGTTTGTACACAGGAGAGAGAAACTAGTGAGGAGAGCGGATTCCTCACGCGGAGAGAAGCGTGCGTCCCTTGGCTCCCTCACCCTCTAAGTCCTCCCTTGTGGGACATTACCCCGGCCAACACCATCTGGAGCCAAGAGCTCAGAATCCTCGGAGCCTCTGGGGTTAAACAACAACAAAAGCAAACAAGCGAGCGTGGGGTGGGGGGGACACAGCTCTAAGCTGTCTGCAGATCTGCCAGTGGCAACCAGGGTAGAGGGCACAAGCTTCCAAAGGGGCAGTTACTGAGGTGACAGGAAGGCGCAGGCTGTCTTCAATGTATAAACACATCTAAAGTGTGTAAAACCTCAAATGATTTGCTTACCATGACCACTGTTACTCGGTTTTGAAAAATGGCCTGTCCCCTTAAATATGTACAATTAATTTTTTTTTTTTAATGACTAAATTTCCCGGTGAGATTTTTAGGTCTTGCCTTTGCTCCACTGCCTGCCAGAACAGTGTCTGTCCTCCACAGCAGGCACTTCAAGGTTTTTTTCAGTATATCAAGGATGCTTACACTATCCATTTACCATTCAATCAATATGATTAAGACACTGATTTCTACTATACCTGTGACTTTCTTTCAAAAGTGCTTATTTAATTCAGCAACTTTTTTTCAGTACTGAGGACTGAATCCAGGGCTTCTACACTAAGCTGTATCTCCAGGGTTTTTTTATTTTTGTTTTTGTTTTTTTCCTCTCTCCTTTGATTTCTTCTTTTGAGACAGGATCTCATTAAATTGCTAAGCTACCCAGGCTAGGCTCACCTTATGATCCTCCTGCCTCAGCCTCCCAGAGTACTGGGATTATAGGC